ATCTCAGAGATATAGAAAAATAAACCAAGTATATTTTTTCATTAATAATTCCTCATTAATAACATGAATCTGAATAATATTTATGAATTTTTGGCCATATTATGATTTTGATGAGGTTCAAATTAAATAATTTATCTTGCTACTTTTTGAATTTTATTTTTAAATAACTTGTTTGCTATGACATAGTAAATCCAGATGATAGAATAATATTGTAAATAAGTATTTCATAAAATTATGTGAATGAAAAATGTGGTTAAATGATTAATTGAGCAATTATTAACTGAAATAAAATGTCCAATAACCATAATATATTTGTATTCTTAGACAATGAAGATATCTTATCTATAAGGAGTGCATATTATCCAGAATCAGAATATTACTATGTTCATAGCTCTGAACTAAAAAGCTGTAAGAATTAGAGTAGATAAATAAACATCTTGAATCAAGGTATCCATTTTTGGAAAATAACTAATTTGGACTAGATGAAACAAAACTTGTTCTTATCCTAAAATGTTGTTATTCTAAATGATGCATTTGCATGCAAAGTCCCACTGAGTTTATTTGCCTCATTGAGACACATATTATATAAATTTTCTAATAAGTAAATGACTCAGGTATTCCTAATACTAGGTGTGACGGGAATTTAACAAAGTTAAACTGTATTGTATACTTATTTTCTTCATGATCAGAATGTATGCATAATACGAAATTCAGGAAGACTATTCTATTTGTACGTGTATGTACTTTAACAATTTCATTAAAAGGACTGGACGAGGTTAAGATATATTATTATAACCATAATTAAGGTTGAAAATGTAAATAGCCATTAAAATCCAATAAGACTGTATTTTCTCAAAATGTTTGTGTCATAAAAATGCATGATTATTGGTCAGATGGAGTGAATTCTAACTGTATCATTTGATGATACAATTTTCACTTTAGAGGATTCTCCTCCTCAGAGAAGGATCATGTTGTGAAGACCCTTCATCACAACATGCTGAGAAGCCTGCTCAGTCCAAAGAGCAATCAAGAAAATGACAGCAGTCAATTCAGTTTGATCAGTTTAGCATTTGCATGAAGCAAAGGGTCACGCAAAACCTGAATTGACATTAATTTTAAGTCATTGTTTTTAATCATAGTGAGTCAATGCTCTTGTTTCTCTTACCTCAGTAAAAGAATAAAAACAACAAACTTTTCACAGGTTATAGATTCTTCCAGAGTAATATATATGAGAAATATTACACATTTTAAAAATTTGGTCACCGATTTAATGCTGTCTATGAGCATTACCTCATTTGGTCCAGATACACGCCTAGGAGCTTCTGTCTGGTAACTTTCCACTGTTCCATAATTGTATTCTTGAAAATCATCAACAATATTCGCCTAACGGTAAATTCAAAAGAAGAGCAGTTAGTAAAAATGTAAGGTAATCCCAAACCTCTGGAAATCATGATTTAACTGGGGTATCGTATTAACCAAATGATAATTTAACTAGTTGGGTTGGGACAATGACTCATCATCAGAGATCTTCCAGCTTATCTAGGAGAGATCTTGATTGCTTTTTCTTCGCTACCTTTACCCCTAGCTTGGCTTTTGCCGCTGCTTGATAACTTTTCTTCTTCTTGGATGCAAATTTTTCAGATTTAGGGGGTGTAAACTTTTTGAACTTTTCCTTTGAGTTAGTGGCCATTGTCTTCATCTTCGTTTTGGAATTGAATTTCTTTTTCTGTAAAATGTGGTGAAAGATGGGATGGAAAAACATAAATAAAGTGAAAAGAGAAATAAAGAGCATGGATGAAAGAAAGGATAAGCAGAGCAAAACGAGCGCCATTCTCTCAGGACCGCTACTGCCAAATAAAAATCACAGTTATCAGGTCACAGAAATCAGATGAATGAAAGGTTCGTGGTAAGTTTGAGGAAGAGAGGACATAAGGAACCAAGGATGGCAAACAGCAGGACACCGTGCACAAGGGTGCTACTGTGCTTTTACCTCGGTTTGGGTTATTGTCTCCTCAGTTACAGTGGGTGTCTCTGTTACACTCTCAGCCTCTTTATACTCTGCTTCCCCATACTCATAGTCATATTCCATTATATCCTCAGGAGCATACTACATCGCAAAGGGAAAAATATCAGGCAATCTTGTTAGCTGCAAGTAATACGATTAACAAAGTGGAAATCATCGTTCTTAACTTTTACTACCAAGAGTAATAGTTAAGAGACACGGGAATACTGTTATTCCAATGTTACTTTGTATTACAAGAAGTATTATACTGTCTTACACAGAGTATAATAACATAGTGACAAAGCAGGTTTTCTAAGAGCAGCCCAGTGGTTAGGAGTGTGAGGAAACTAAAAGTTTAGAATATTAATTCAAATTTTTAATTGTCAAATATTAATTCAAACATAGCAATTACATACTTTGGACATAGTTTTTAAATATTCATGTTAATTCTGATTTGTAAAAATTGCTACACTAGCCTCCTTTATAAAAATTTTACAGCAATTTCAATTGGTTTTTTTTTTCCATTAAACTACATATTAAAAACAAAACTAGGGAGAATAGTCTTCCCAAGTAGGAAAGAATTTTCATCTGTTGTGAGATGGAAAAGGAAGAAGGAAGGGAAACAGAAGGAATACGAGGTAAGTCTACATTCTATTTGGAATACTGGAACCAGTGGAAAACTACAATCTAAAATTTATTCAGAAATAATGAATTTGCTATAGACTTACTTAAGATCAAAATAAGTACAGAATACTTGTGAAGCATTAAAAGATTCAAAATTAGATCTGTTTATAATTAATACATTATTTCAATTTTTAAAAATACAGCTTTTTTTCTATCAAAAAAAGAGCAAAACAGATATCTTATTATTTATATTTATTAATATATAATGTTATATATACATATATGTACGTATACGCTAAAAGCAACCTATTTGCAATTCCCTAAGTATTATATTTGGTAAAATTCCAATTATATCGCAACGAGGCCTCCCTTGGCAATTCAAATTGCCAGAAAATTCCTTTTAATCTGCCAGAAAAATAACTCTTTATCACGTCTTTTAGGGAATTGTGATCACTGTGCCTTCTAATAAGTTCTTTTAGATAAAGCAATGCAACTGAGCATAAATTTCACAGAGACATGTAATGAGACATGTCCCAAACTGATCCCCTGGCAATATTGTACACCTGGCCCTTAATGAAATACCTTCACTAGAGCAAACTTTTCTAGATGGTTCAGCTGAATTTCATATTGAAATATATGCACATGCCTTTAGTGTTCTTTATGATTGTCAAAAGTTCAACCTGGTTGAATTAACTGAAACAGGTTCATAATTTTATCTATCCAGTAATACTTTTATTATCATTGAATATACATTTGAAGGGCTTTAACAAAGCTTCGTTCTAATTAGAATTTGAGTAGAATTTGGTAAAATAGAAGAATGCATTTATATAACACTTCCAGCATTTTTGTTTCTTCATGCCTCTACAAGCAAGATATAATGCCAATTATTTCTAGGAAAGTTAATACAAGTATTAACGAATAGCATCATTAAGTAAATAAAACAACTAAATACGGAATTTATATACATATTAAAACATACTTATGGAAATTGAATATTGCCTAATGAATACTATTTCTGTGGTTATGGCCACCCATGTTGGAATAAGAAATATTGGACTTGTATAAATACTAGCTGCTACTCTGAAGTAAAACCACAACAAAAGCAGCCAACTACCTTTACTAAATTTGTATCATGTTTTTCCTTATAGAAGGAAACCTCTTCTAACCTCCATAATTCTCTCCTCGATTTAAACGTTTTTCAAATGGAGATCAAGCAGACTAGGTGCGCTTGTGGAATGATGAAGGCATAACATGCTCACCTCCTTAGGTACTAAAGCACATCTTTTTCTTAGAGCCACTCAGGAGTCAGTGAAAAGAATCACTGTTTCTGTTCTCCTCATTTCTTTATCTAAACAACACCCTACTTTTGGTGGGTATTGGTGTACTGAGGGCCGTGCTGGTCTACGTGAGGCCTTACAAACTGTTTTTAGAGATGATTCTCCCTTCTTAGTATGGAATTTGGGGGTGATTCCAAGACAGGTCAAAAAGAGAGAACTGGTTGTAATCAATCAGATGAATATATGCAAAAAAGACGTGCAGGGATGGAACGATTCCCACTACAATCTGTGAGTTGCCGAACATGAATTATAGTGTATGAGGAGGAGGGGCCTTCTTCTAGAATGTCATGAAGTCTGGTCTTACTCAGTTTGTTAGGAAAATAGTAGAATCAATAAATACCTGTTCATTTATGAGAACCAGAATATATAAAAAATACTGAGTGCAACAAGATTAAGGTAATAAATTTCTTTATAAATATTGTTTTTCCTTGGCTTCTTTCTCCTTTTCCATCCTTTATTTAAAAAAAAAGGTCCATTGCCTACTATATATAGGGCATTATAGTCTGTGTAATACATTTAGAAAGAATCATATGTAGATTTAACATCTAGTTTCTTATCAGATAGGAGGATAACTTAACTTGATGAGAAAATCCCAAAACCACCATAATTTTAATATTAGTTACTCTGTCACATAAATCGTATCGTGTAGGTACAAGTCAAATTATAGTTTGATATTATTGCTATAATTTAAGTCTATCTTCATTATATATTTCACTGTATGATGATTATGCAATGTTGTGCCAAACACATAAAAAACTGAACCAGAAGAATAAATTAAAATGTTATTTAGAGGATATGAACTACACACAAAAAAATCACAGGTTGAAGAAAGTACATTTGAGTTAATTTATAAAAGCAATTAACATATTTTGTTAATCCAAATTAGAATAATAAATATGCATTATCAGAAGTTTATTAACAGAAAATTAAGCAATATAAAGTACAACAGGTATGTTTGATGCTCTGTATTGTACTTTATGTTCATTATTCACTGGTAACATTGCATTCCAATTTTGTAAAGGCAGAACAATTATTAAAATGTATTTTTGTAATACAACGACATTTTAATGGCTATAGTTCAAAAGTAATACAAGGACAGCTTACTAACTGTGTTAACCAGGTTTTTTTTTAACTAGTGTAGAATGGTTATCTTAGGATTGAAGTATCAGTATAATTTAGAATTGGAGAAAAAGTGAGAGCTGCTTCTTCAAAAAATTTTTCACTGTGACACATTCAATACAGAAACTATAATAAAACTATTA